TTAACCTTTACTTGTCATGTAATGTCTACTTTGTTTGCCATGGGCCACAAAAGGCGTTTTCTTCGACGTGCTGTGACTGACAACCGAACTATAAAATACATCAAAAACGCGACATAATTATGAAATGAAACAATTTTATTCGTGCGCTGTAATCCAAATCTTCAGAATCCATACGACTGCGAGGAACAGACCCAAATCTAGGGATGGGCGGATCGATCCTAAAGTATCGATATTTTCGATACTGGCATTGTATCAAAAGGATCGATTCTCAAATAGAAGTATCGATCCTATGGTTTTTTTTTAAACGAGAACATTTTAGAACAATTTAGAATCTTTTAATAAGTAGTACGGCGTATAGTATTGAAATATTTACTTAAATAGGAACAGCAATGAGAACTATATCTTCCTTCCGCTATATCTCCGCTTGTCAAGACAGCGTTCGCTCACTCTGTCAAAGCACACACAGCGCAGGTTTAAAAAGGGACTTGAGTGCATGGCTGTGGTCATGACTGAAAGAAAAAGAAGCATAATCTGGAGTTATTTCACTCCAGTTAACAATGATAAAGCTTCATGTGACATTTGTCAAAAAACAATACGCCACTGTGGCAATACCACAAATATGATAAAGCATCTAAAAGTAAAACACCCTAAACAGCACGATGAAGTACAGCTGAGGAGAGCAGAGGAGGTAACAGAGACACGACCCCCATCTTCTGGCTTGAGGCAGAGTTCTTTAGCAGAATCCTTTTCAGAGAAGCGGACATTATCCAGGTAGCCTACCAAGTGGTGATTAGGTTATTTGAATACAAAAAGTCGAGTCACATTTATTTATATACTTTAAAAAATACAGATTGTTTCAAATATGAAGATATTACAGTATTTCATGGGGAGCAGAATATTACACTGCATATGAGTATAAAGATTAAAACTGGACATTTTAGTTTAAACAGTAGGATATTTATTAAAACATTTTATACTTTTTTTAGCCTATATATATATTTCTGTTACCTGGTATCTGGTGGATATTCTTAATGAAATTTATATATTATTTATATAATTTAAAACTTCACTTAAAATATCTGGGAGAGATTCACTATCATTATAAATTCTTAATGCCTGTAACACAGCTTTAAGAACATACAGTATATATACAGTAGTCAACATTTAAAGTGGATCAAAACCTTTCATCAAAGTTGTCCTAAACCTAAAACCAAAATGCGTTCTTGTCTTAGGATAATATTTCATAGATGACTCAGAGAGCATGGGCAATTACAAGAAGCATAGGAGAGATGATTGTGAGGGACCTCCAGCTGATCTCAGTGGTAGAAGACAGAGGATTTATTGCATTTGTCAAGACTCTTGATCCACGTTACCAAATCCCTAGCCGGAAAAAGCTGACGGAGGGTACAATAAACAACATGTATGAAGACTGTAAAGCCAAAGTAATGGCAACATTACAAAATGAAAACCATGTGATACAACGGATATGTGGACCTCAAGGTCTACAGAGGCATATCTAACTGTGTCCTGTCATTTCATTAACAACTGGCAAATGCAGGAATTTGTGTTAGAAACCTGCCATTTCAGTGCACAGCATACAGCTGACAATATTAGTGCAGAGCTGAAAAGAATAGCTGAAGAATGGGGCATAACCCAAAAGGTGCTTGCAGTTGCCACAGACAACGGTGCGAATATGGTTTCTGCAGTGCATTAGGCTGGGTGGAAGCATTACCCATGTTTTGCCCATACATTAAACTTGGTGGTCAAAGATGCAATAAAAGCATCTCCTGAGATCTTTCACCTGCTGGAAAAAATGCAGAAGCATTGTATCCTTTTTCCACCACAGTACAAAAGCCACAGAGAAGCTTAAACAGATCCAAAAGCAACTGAAGGTGACAGAACATAAACTGATTATTTCAGTTGAAACCAGGTGGAATGTTAGAGAGGCTACATGAACAAATGGATTCAGTTACAACAGCCCTCCTTCTACTTGGGAAGAGTGACCTGTGCTTTACAAATGAAGAGCGGTCTGTTATCCACCTGACCATTGAGGCCTTGAAACCTTTTGAGGAGGCAACACGTGAAGTATCAGCAGAAAAACACATTTCTATCTCAAAGGTCATTCCCCAAGTATTACTGCTTCTTAGAGCAACTGCTGCCAGTGAGCGTCAAGGTTGCTCTTTTGCCACAGAACTGGCACAGCAATGTCAGCGCAGATTCAGTGGGGTTGAAACCATACACAGCCTCGCTGCCAGCGCCTTTCTTGTCATTAGGTTTAAGCACCTGGCATTTTAGTGACAAAGATCATGTAGAAGCAGTGAAAAAGCGACTCCTATCTGAAATGCAGGATGTCCACTTGGCCACATCTGAGTTAGCTGCTGCACCACTAGAAGCTACCTCAACATCTGTCCTAAGGTCTGTGTCAGTACCTACAGCAAGCTGTGCCTCATCAGTGACTCCTCCAGTGGCCCCACGTACTGCATCAGCTACATCTAAAGGAGGCATATGGGAGGATTTTGACTTCCAGGTTCAGCACAACAACAACAATCAAGAAGCAGTGATTCTATAATTGAAATGTGTCGCTATGCTGAGGAGAAAGTAGTTCCCTGAAACCAAGGGCCATTAGTTTGGTGGAGAAATCATGAGCAAACCTTCCCAGCTCTCAGCAAACTAGCAAAAACAATATCTTGGGATCACTGCATCATCTGTTCCTTCTGAGGGAAATTTCTCAAAGGCAGGGGAGTTGATCAGTCAAAGAAGAAACAGGCTAAAGGGGAAAAATGTCAACATTCTCTTGTTCCTTCGCAAAAACTATGAACCAGTTTTCATGGTTTACACAGGCTTGCTGTGTATATCAGTATGCACAAATGAAGATTGCAACTTAAATGTAAGATTCAACCTGAAGTTCAGCTGATTTAACATTTAAATAATTTTGAAGTGTTTCTAGCCTCACAGACATCCCTGGTTTGATTTTCAGTGCAGTCCATTCACTGTTATCAGGGTTTTATTTATTTATTTTATATATTATTTGTTAGGTATTTAGATTAGTTAGATTTATTTTTTTTTTTGTCAAAAGCAAGAGATTTTGATCAGTCAAAGAAAAACAGGCTTAAGAGGAGAATGTCAACATTCACTTGTTTCATCTCAAAAACCCATAAAGGGAAGAAATGTAGAAACATTATGTGACAATTGTTGAAAAAGATTTGTGTGACGTGTTACGTTTTTGTTATGTACAGTGTTATTTAGCCTATGTTTATTTAATTAATAATGTTCAATATTTTTTTAATAAATGTAAAAAAGAATCATGTATATTGCAGTTTATTTAATATTAATAATGATGGCTATCAAAAAAAACTATATAAAATCACTCATAAAAGTATTTAATCGGAGTATCGGTATCGGTATTTATATCGACGATACTTGTCTTGAAAATACTTGGTATCGGATTGGAAAGAAAATAATTGGTATCGCCCATCCCTACCCAAATCCAAGCCTTTATTAAAATCGAATGCTCATTGGCTCTCGCCTACATCGTCACAGATTGTGACATGCAGTGTTTCTGGTGAGGTGTGTGTTTGAATGATGTTTGCGCGCCTTTGCGGAGTGGATAGGGAAAATAATCTGGATAATATTTTCTGCGATTAACAACTTAAATTCTGCTCTGCACCTCACAAACGTACTGTATTCCACCAGAGAGGACCGCGGCTGCAACCCAACGTCATTTGGATTACTTTTGGTACTGCTTTTTGAATTTTTGCAATAAATTAATGATTGTAATTGCTTTTATCTGTCTGTCATGTTTTTCTTATACTGTACGGAAACCGTTATGTTTAGGTTTAGAGGTAGGAGTGGGATTAGCGACTTTAAAAACATTTTATTGTTCATATATATTGTTACTAAAATGGTTATTTTCCTGCATATTTCGGTCAATTGCGTTTTATGTCCTTTTATATTCGCTATAAAATGGGTAGGTTAAGGTTTGGAGGTAGGTTAAGGGGTCTAAAAATCTAAATCACTTATTGATAAAATGATTTAAAAATGCACATTCGCTATAAAATGGGTAGGTTTAGGTTTGGGGGTAGGTTAAGGGGTCTAAAAATCTAAATCGCTTAATGATATAATGATAAAAATGCATTGATACGAATATCTTAGTGATATAAAAGATGCGTAAATATTTTTCGGGTTTTTTTAGCTAAAAATACGAAGCAATTTGTACGTTTTAAACGTTGAAATAAATCAAATTGTACGTTTTAGCATAAATAAAAACGTACAAAAATTTATGTTTTGTGTTTGTAAATGTTACGTATCAAAACATATAAAAATGAGACCAGGCTGGGTTGTGAATACAGTATTTCACAGTAATAAAGACAAGAAATACATCAACCATGTGTAGTTGTGTAGATGTGTATTTATCAGCCTATTCTAAAGCCTTGATTGGTTGGTGTGGCACTGTGAGGCACTGATCAATCAGTGTGCCATTTTGATTGGCTGTATTTGAAAAAGTTAATCAAGATACTTCCTGCTAAATTTTTGTGTGTTACATCGAGAATTGTGTGTTGTGTTTTGCAAAAAGTGTTTTATGAAATTTAAAACTGAGTCAAAGACTGAGAATTAGTGTATGGTTTTGCATATTTGGTGTATGGTTCTGGTGTTTGAGTGTCAGGTGTCAGAAATTGTGTGACAAGTAAAGATTTTGTGTGCAAGCAGTTGAAAAATTTGGTGTGGTCTCTTAATTTTTTCCAGAGCTGTACACACACACACACACACACACACACACACACACACACACACACACACACACACACACACACACACACACACACACACAGACACACACACATATTATATTGCACCAACCTTGCTTCCTTGATTGTTTGTAAAATCTGAGAAATTTGGAGTAAAAAAATAAATGGCAATAAAATCACTATACATTTACTGTGATGGTTCATATAGGTTGACCCTTCTATCTCTATTTTTATATGTGTGTGCGTGTCTTCCAGGTGGCGGAGCAGCTGATGACTATAGCGTATGAGAGCGGGGTAAACCTTTTTGACACCGCAGAGGTGTATGCTTCTGGAAAGTGAGTATGACTCAGCATCAGCAAGATTACCCATAATTCACTTTACTCCATGAGTCATTATTAACATCTCTGTCTGTTATAGAGCTGAAGTCGTACTGGGAAACATCATCAAAAAGAAGGGTTGGAGGTACGGTTGATTTGTATGTGTGTCAAGCACACCTGTGCAACTGTAATACAAGATAAAGGAGGTAAAAACCAAAAATAAATGAGTGGAACTGGAGCTTTTAATCCCTTTGCAGTTGTTGTGTACCTGCTGGCTCTGGCATGGGTTACGTGTCATTACTCACACACACTTTTGATGAAGACTTTGATCACTAGGATCTTGCTCAGTTTGTATCACTTAATCAATGCCACCAGACGAGTGCATCCTGGTGATGGCTGTTGCCATAGCAACAGATGAGACCCACTGTGATTACCATGACTTCTGGAATGACAGCGCTTTTGCTGACTATAAAAACTATGAAAAATTACTCAGCTGATTTGTCACATGAAGTGAGATTTATTATTCACTTCGAGATTCACAGCAGTTTTTCACATTAGCTATGTAGTGAGGGAAAGAGTTAGAAATGAAAAGTTGAAAACAGAGTACTTGTTAACCTGCTATTTTTTAATTGTATTGGAAACTATATGCAGTTTGTTTCCAGTCGTAACTATGATTTGAGGGGGCATCAATATACAAAATGCAACTTATGTTGACAATAATTCCCAAGTACATGAAGGCAGCAATAAGTTATCATCTGGGAAATAAAAAGTGTATTAACTCTTGACAATTCTATCAAGTAGTTAGTTAAGAAAAAGAAAATAAGTATTATAAAATATATAATAATTATATTATTTCCAGTTACTTCTCCTCCTCTGCAAGTGCATTGAATAATGGTAAACATACTTTAAATTTGTTAACACTTAAAAAATCTTGCAAACTTATTGCCTCGGAAAAATCTTGTTAAGGTTACTAAGTATATTGAAGTTTTCATGAACTGGCTACTGGTTAAGCTTAAATATATTGAGCAGCATTAACTAGATTCTTCTGTGGCAATAAGTTTGCAAGATTATTTTAGTAATGGAAACATACTGAAATTTACAGTTAGTATACACTGCGGTTCAAAAGTTTTGGGTCAGTTTAAGATTTAATATTTTATTCAGCAAGGATGCATTGAATTAATCTCATGTTAAAGTAAAACGGTTTTAATGTTTTTTTTGTCTTTTTAAATCCTTCAAATAAATGATGTTCTTTTGAACTGGCTATTGTTCAAAAAAGTACCGAATAAAGTATATAATGTATTAATGTGTCAAATATTAAGCAGCACAACTGTTTTCAACATTGATAAATAATAGAAAATGCAACATTTCTTGAGCACCCACATTTTAGCATGATTTTGAAGGACCACATGATTCTGAAGTCTGAAATAATGGCTGCTGAAAATTCAGCTTGGCCATCACAGGAATAAATTTAAATATAATAAATATGAAATTCCCTTTTAATAAAATATGGTAACACTTTATTTTAAGGTGTCATTGTTACACAAGTTACATTTACTTACTATTGTAACAATAAATTATGCATAATCACGTGCAAGTAACTCTAAGCCAAACCCTAATCCTAACCCTAACCATGTAGTAAGTATCTGTAGTCAATTACAGTTTAATGTGTTTAAAAATGTGCTTAAACACATTTCTTGAAATTATGCCTCTTTTTTGTGAAACACAAATCCATAACTTCTAACTCAACTTCCTATATTCAGGTCAAATGAAGCTCTCCACTCAAAACAACTCAATCTTGCTGAAAAACCAAACTTTGCTCTCAGACATGACACACAAACCATCAAAAAAAAAAACACACACACACACACACTAAAACAGTTTTACACACTGATGAGATAAATTCAAAACAATACTACAAAAACCAGTAATAAGTTATGTTGCTTGTGCTTTTTTAAAAATGGCGTTATGGTTTTGAAATTTTAGTTCAAGAGCCTGCTTATAGTGTTTTAGCAATCGAGAAAAACTGTAATATGACTCAGTACTTAAATGTATAATTACACTGTAATAAGGACACCTTAAAATAAAGTGTAACCTAAAATATATTAAAATAGAAAAGTTATTTTAAATTGCAATGATATTTTACAATATTACGGTTTTATTGTATTTTCTTTTTTTTGATGCAGCCTTGGTGAGCATAAGAAATTTCTTTCAAAAACATTTAACTGACCCCAAACTTTTCAGTCAGTGATAGTGTAAATGTAGCATGTATCTTTTATCTGAATAGAGATGTACTATTTCTATGTTTAAAAATTGCACAAGAATACTAATTCCAAATATCGCCATGGATTCTTTCTCTCTTTTTTCTCTCCCTCTCTCTTTCTCTTTGATACATATCTCATCAGATTGAGTTGTAGGGTTCAGATCCACTCTGTCCCCAAACTAATTTAATCTGACCACCTTTATAAGCTTTACAATCTTCTCAGATCCTAGATCTGTATTACAGATCATGCTGTTATGCTGACAGATTGGCTCATCCCAATGCAGGGAACATACATGAATATCCCATGACCCCCAATCAAAATTCAAGAGCTCGTCTGTATGGATCTCTTCTGTAAATGTTTGATGGATATACATTAAAGGTGAAGTGACCCCTGAGATTCACAGTTTTAATGAACAGAGCAGAGACGGTACGCTGAGGGACTATTTTGCCCTCTCTTCTTCTTTCATCAGTTTACTTTCCTACTCAATCTTTTATATCTTCCCAGTTCATTCTTTCTATCTCTCACTCCAATATTCTAATTCCTGTCCCATTCCCCATTTCCCCCATAACCCAGTTTCTCCCCGCCAGCTTTTTTTTTTTCATTCTCTTTCTTTTCATCATCTTTTTCACCAACTCATTCCATCTGTGGAGATGATGGTAAGTTCATGTGTTTTTACACCAGCTGCTTGTTTGCTACACAGTGACAAATGGGTGTCAAACACAAAGCCATTGAATTCACTTATAATATGACATCTCGCCTAATATATCTGTTCAATTTCACAGCCCAAGCTTTCTTGTTTAAAATCTTAATTATTTTGTAAGGCCAAAATTTAGAGGCAGCTCTCAGTTTTTGTGAGTCGAGAAAGAAGGACACAGCAAGAGTTCACACCAGTGAAACCTCATTTACACCCATTTACAATGCAGATGAGAGCAACTCTGAGAGACCTGCAGATTACTGCCAAAACAGCTACAGGCGAAGGTTACACATGCATCATCACTGAGCAATAGCATCACTATCTCTGCAGTTCTGCCTCAATAGTCTGCTTCCTGTTTGATGAAGTCATGAGACCAATGAACAAGTGATTAACTGCCCAACATAGACAGAAGCCATTCGATATCTGTCTGGCTTTGTCTTTTTAAAATTTGACCTTTGCATATTTGCATAAAAATGTCATATTCACTACCGTTTGGGGTTGGTAATATTATTATTTTTTTTGTCAGTTACATTAAAAATCAAACTACAATGTACTCAACTCCTCATAGACATTTTTTTGGCACAAATAAAGTAATAAAAACTGCAAACTGATTTGTTATAAAATTGCATGATGAACTGGAAAAAAAATGCATTGATAAAATGAAATCATTATCACTAATTTTCATGTCAGTGGCGTTACTGCTTCCTATTAAATTTAATTAGGGGTAACACCAAAACTGCATTGCAGCATATGGTACATTAGCACTGTTTTTATTCTACAGACAAATTAAATTAATATAGCATGGAAGATTTAATGTAGGATTCTTGTTTAGTTTTTTAATGCATTTATTTGATCAAAAATACAGTAAAAACTTTGTTGAAATATTGTTAGAACTCTTTTCTATTTCAATATATTTTAAAATGCAATTTATTCTTGTACAGGTAATTCAGGATTCCCGCTGGTCCTTAAAAAGTCTTAAATGTAGGTGTATCAAATTTAAGGCCATAAAATGTCTTAAATTGTAGAAGAAAGTGTTAATTATGATTTCAAGAGGTCTTAAATTTGGGGATGGAAAGACCAGAATTGCAATATAGCTTAATGTGACGATTAAACTTCAACTTCTTTTAACTTCATTAAATAAACATGTGAGCTGCACAGTCCGGTGCTGTGCTGCTTTGTGTACTGCCATTACCGGGGAAACAGTTATATTTCTGCCGTTCCTAAAGTGTCACCTGCTGGCAGAGATTGATTGTGCATTTTCAATAAGGCTGTTGCTTTTGTTCAGACCAATATGAAAATCGACCCATATCTTGCAAACACTCTGCAAACACACATAGCTGTAAATATGAACTGGTGGATCGTTAAGAAGATAATGCATTATAAAAATCTAAACAGTAAAATGTATTTATGTTATTTAATTAATATAATAATTTATTGATAATAATTGTTTAAATTAATATAATAATTAATACCTTTGACTCATCCATGTTCTTAAAAATGGTTTAAAGGTTGAAATGTGAAATGTATCATTTTGTAAAGCTTTTTGTTTTTGTGAAAACTTGTATCCGAACTGTAAATCATGCTTTTTGCAGTCGTATTACAGTTTAATATGTTACTAGACATTGCCCTACCCCGCTCATTTGGTATTAATTTTATTTGTGCAGGTCTTAAAAAAGGTCTTTAAAAGTCTTAAATTTGAGCTCAAAAATCCTGCAGAAACCCTGTAATTGCAAAGCTGAATTTTCAGCAGCCATTACTCCAGTTCTCAGTCTCATTATGATCAATGTTGAAAACAGTTGTGCTGCCTAATATTTTTGTGAAAACCAATTTCTTTTCAGAATTCCAAAAACTGCAGCTTGACTACACACACAAAAAGAAAACCTGCTGTTTGATTATAACTGCAAATGTTAATCAGCTTTTTCCTTGATTTAAAGTTAATATGGAATATGTATGTGCAAATTCTAATGCACTTTTCCGTCTCTCCTCCTATCTTTTTTCAAGGCGATCCAGTCTGGTTATTACAACAAAGCTCTACTGGGGTGGAAAGTGAGTAAACTGTCATTTTGCCCATTGTGGATGTCACGTCATGTCATGTGTAGCGTTTGGACCAATAAGACACACAATAATTTCTTATATTTAACAAAAAAATCCCTAACACGCCCTCACTCCACCAACAAGGCAACTATGAGGGTCTGTGGACCCTTCCCCCGAAATGCAACTAATGGTGCTTTTCCACTGCATGGTACGGCACGTGCCGTACTGAGCCGTACCGAGCCGAGTCGTACCACACAGTGGAAAAGCGCCATAACACCTCAAAAAGGCAGAACAGGCCTCTGGTTCCATGGCAACCAAAGACAAATCATCTGATAACACTAGTTTTATTGTTCAAAGGAATGCGGGCAGAGCAACTCTCACTCCATTTCCCCTTAGGAAAGACACAAAATGCCCATAAAAACGGACTCTTCTCTAATTAATTCATAAAAAAACCTTTCTGTGAATGTACACACATATCTTCAGGTCATTGTGTATACCATTACTTTTCTTGTATATTGTCTTTTGTATTTTACAAATACAAATTGTGTTTTATGCATGTGTTATGATAGATTACTAGTTCATATAACCTCACCTATATGATGTTTGGTCTTTTTGAATTCTTCTTCTGATGATCTAAATGACAGTTTGTATTATATGTTGACTCTCATGCAACATATTATTGTTCTAAGAATTTTTTGTAGTTTTTACATCAACACCCAATCGAATTACATACGCAAAATACCATGCTCTAAGACAAAGAGTCATAAACTTTCCCTCCAAAAGTGCAAGTCACCATTGGCTCTTTGACCCCCGAGAGGTGTGACCTCCACAGAACTTAAAAGGCATCACTTCAGTGACCCGCTGCCTTTTTTTAATCTCTTCTCCCGTCTCTCATCACCTTCCCGTCTTCTGGTTGCTAAGTCCCAGAGCCAGTGCAGCCGCACCTGGCAGACCTCGACACAGCTCAGTCTGTGTTTCTGTTAGATTCTGAGAAGATGAGGATGTGAGCTAGAACTCTTCTGGAACCCTTAAGTTTGTGCCAGGCTTCGGCCTTGTCTTTACATTCACCAACGATCCTAGGAACTCAGCTGATGTCTCTCTTAGCTCTACTTCAATTTCCACTGGGAAGAAACTCCCAATCACCATCGAGTTAGAGCATCTTTGGATTTCATCACTCTTCAAACCCGGAAGAACGTGATCGCATGAAACCATCAAGACTTTCATCCGTACATTCGTCAACGACCAAGGCAATGCAAATATCGTACATTTAACTAAACAAAACAGAGGATTAGTATAAGCAATAGACCCTGTTGTAAAATGGTGCTGATGTTTTCACTCAAAGGTTTACTGTCTCCTTTTCCAAAGCTGTATTTTCTTGTTTCTCTAATGTCCATCCAGTCTCACTTGCCCTTCCCCCATGTATGAGTGATTGTATGTCTGTTTGTTTAGATTAGTTATGTGTGTCAGTGCTTAGCTAATAAACTTATTACATGAGTTTCTGATCCTGTAACTGCTTGTGAATAATGTCCCTTTACGATTCTGATCTAGCTACATGTTCTAATGCATTAAAGGGGTGGTTGACTGTTTTTTTTCTAGGCTTGATTGTGTTTATGGGGTGCAGTCTAACGTGTTTTGGTCTTTTTGAATTCTTCTTCTGATGATCTAAATGACAGTTTGTATTATATGTTGACTCTCATGCAACATATTATTGTTCTAAGAATTTTTTGTAGTTTTTACATCAACACCCAATCGAATTACATACGCAAAATACCATGCTCTAAGACAAAGAGTCATAAACTTTCCCTCCAAAAGTGCAAGTCACCATTGGCTCTTTGACCCCCGAGAGGTGTGACCTCCACAGAACTTAAAAGGCATCACTTCAGTGACCCGCTGCCTTTTTTTAATCTCTTCTCCCGTCTCTCATCACCTTCCCGTCTTCTGGTTGCTAAGTCCCAGAGCCAGTGCAGCCGCACCTGGCAGACCTCGACACAGCTCAGTCTGTGTTTCTGTTAGATTCTGAGAAGATGAGGATGTGAGCTAGAACTCTTCTGGAACCCTTAAGTTTGTGCCAGGCTTCGGCCTTGTCTTTACATTCACCAACGATCCTAGGAACTCAGCTGATGTCTCTCTTAGCTCTACTTCAATTTCCACTGGGAAGAAACTCCCAATCACCATCGAGTTAGAGCATCTTTGGATTTCATCACTCTTCAAACCCGGAAGAACGTGATCGCATGAAACCATCAAGACTTTCATCCGTACATTCGTCAACGACCAAGGCAATGCAAATATCGTACATTTAACTAAACAAAACAGAGGATTAGTATAAGCAATAGACCCTGTTGTAAAATGGTGCTGATGTTTTCACTCAAAGGTTTACTGTCTCCTTTTCCAAAGCTGTATTTTCTTGTTTCTCTAATGTCCATCCAGTCTCACTTGCCCTTCCCCCATGTATGAGTGATTGTATGTCTGTTTGTTTAGATTAGTTATGTGTGTCAGTGCTTAGCTAATAAACTTATTACATGAGTTTCTGATCCTGTAACTGCTTGTGAATAATGTCCCTTTACGATTCTGATCTAGCTACATGTTCTAATGCATTAAAGGGGTGGTTGACTGTTTTTTTTCTAGGCTTGATTGTGTTTATGGGGTGCAGTCTAACGTGTTAATGCTTCATTTTTTTTATTTTTTTTTAAAGCAGTATTTTTCACATAATTTACCTTTATTCTACACTGCTCTGTCCCTTCTCCTCTAAATGCGCTGATCATTTCCTGCTTTTATGAAGCCCCTCCCTCAGAAATATGGGATGGGCACTGATTGGTTAGCTAGTCCAGTGTGTTGTGATTGGCTAAAACGCCTCTAGTACGCGTCTAAACATCCCGCCCCTCACCTCAGCGGCATGTGCTCCGGCTTTAGAACATTGATTTTGAAACTTGTGAATCCATTAGAATCGTTAGAAGACAGAATCGCGATTCATATATGAATAGATTTTTACGTGCACCCCTAGTTTTCTCTTCCTCTTCTCTAAAGCAGCGCAACATGGCCCCTTTATTGCATGTTCCCGGGGGCGGGGTTTATCAGGGTTTGTGATGTCTCAAACCCAGGAAGTAGCTCGTTGTAGTCCCTACGCGCTGTTTTTGTAGCCATCAAACTGCCAGAATTTTAAAAGATTTAATTTTAAATATCTCCGTTTGCATTGAACTTTCAGCGCTGCAACTTTGCAGATATTGTTTATTCTCAAACAGCAACAATACACACTAACTAACGTTAAAAAAGTGAAATCGCAATCAACCACCCCTTTAATACTGTAGGAAAGATATTTTCTGTGGCCACAAAAATATCCTTTCTTAGCTTTGATATGAACTTACACTGAATGTTCGCTGGACGAACAGATTGGTTGATGGCAATTTAATTCTGCTACAGTTACTACTGGCAGCTGACATAAATAATTGTAATTATTTATATACATTTCCCTTTTGAGCTAATTTGCTACACATGACAACTTTAATTTCATAACCCTCACACTGTTGCACATTCTAAAGGGCAGCACATTTAACGCAGACATCGGTGGATTCACATATTTCATAAATGCAATTACAAATCTCTGTTTAGGTCAAGCGCTGAGCAGGCGTTTTCTGTATGAGTAAGTATTCTGGAAGTAAGTGAGCAAAAGTGCAGCTGCGAAGCTTGATAAGACTAAAGAAAAGGCCTGTCCCATTCCCCACAAATCCTCTCTCATGAATACTAAGCAGAATTTAAATATGCCAGGGTTTTATTTGAAGTTAAAAAATGAACATGCAAAAGGGCCAGTTTGAAAAAGAAAAAAGATGAGCAAGAAACTGGCAGAAGGAGGACATGTCTTATATGCTAGACTGAACTTAGCTCTGTCTGAAATTTTGCTTTCTGACGTACATCTGTCTCTTTGTGTGTCTCTTTTTCGCCACAGAGCCGAGACAGAACGAGGCCTTTCTAGGAAACACATTATTGAAGGTGAAGTGCACACATTCACTTTTTAAATACTCTCACTCTGTGATCACAGCTTGTGTGTGTGTGTGTGTGTGTGAGACGTGTTCGGCTCCTCGGTGGGCATTGATTGAATGGGTTTAGTGTTAGTGTTGCTCTGGCAGGCAGAACCAACAGTTAGAAGGACTAAAGACAATGTAGATGGTAATGACTTGCTTAACGGCATCAGTAACTGAACACACAATGCACAGAATCAAGCCAAAAATGAACATCATGTGCATAATTTTCCCCTGACTGAATTTCATCTCCAACAGGCACCTTGAATTGTAATGTTACATTTCAGCATACCGTGCTTGCATCAAAACAATGGTTCAACCTATAAGATGTAGGAAGAAACTTTTAAAAGCATAATGAAAATTAAAGGGATAGCTCACCCAAAAATTCTGTCATTAATTACTCACCCTCATGTCGTAAGGCCTTTGTTCATCTTCAGAACACAAATTAAGATATGTTTGATGAATTCCGAGAGCTCTCTGACCCTCCCATAGACAGCAAGGATCCTAACATGATCAAGGCTCAGAAACATAGAACAGAAGTAATGACTTTATTCAATAATTAGTGTCCTCCGCATCACCCTGGCGCCATTTTGGAGAGTATCACATACGTAAACAATGTATGCAACGTATGTACGTGGATACGTTGTTTATGTTCAGATCAAACCGTAAACAACGTTAACAACGTATCCACGTACATACGTTGCATATGTTGTTTACGTATGTGATACTCTCCAAAATGGCGTCAGTGTGACGCGGAGGAGACAAATTGTTGAATAAAGTCATTGTTTTTGTTTTCTTTGCGTACAAAAAGTGTCCTCGTAGCTTCGTAAAATTACGGTTGAACCACTGATGTCACATGGATTATTTTAACAATGTCCTTACTACGTTTCTGGACCTTGATCGTGTTAGGATTAGGGATGGGCGATATCTTATCGTTTGCGATATACCTGTAAAAATTCTCCACACTATAAGAATCCGTCTTCCCGCGATAATAACGATAAAGTCTAGTTGTTTACATATTTCTGTGTAGGACTGTGTGGAGTGACGTGAAGGAAGGCGGACGTGAAATTGAGCAGCTCCTTCTACAATCTGGAACAGGTTTGGATAGGGCTGTACAGTTCGACAAAAATCGGTCTGAGCCTTGAGTAAATGTACTACAGTAGCACGTGTGCGACACAGTTTTACATGTGTATGAGCCGTTTACAAACCTGTTGTCCAACAAAGATATTTTAATTTATTGACATGCTTTTTCTCCATATTAACTTCATAACATAGTTGAGTTTGAAATAACTTATTTTTGTGATCAGACGTGGTTTCGTATCACAGAATAAGGCAGAAATCAAACTATTTTATAGCATTATAAACAGTGATAACGGCTATGTCGATTAGCATTGCATTATATATATACTTTATCCTTATAAAAAATACCCAAGTTGAAGAACACAGATACCATATATTTTGTGCAATCGCATGTTTATCGTCTTCAGGTTTCCTCAGTTAAAATTTCTTTAGCTGCGTTTTATTCAGCTACAGCAATCACTGGATACTTCTTCCTGGAGCATTACTTCTACTACATATGTCGAGTTTATCGCAATAAATATCAGAAATTATCGTGATATATTTTTAAGCCCATATCGCCCATCCCTAGTTAGGATCCTTGCTGTCTATGCGAGGGTCAGAGAGTCAAGTCAACTCAACTCAAGTCACCTTTATTTATATAGCTATTTTAAAAATGCAGATTGTGTCAAAGCAGCTTTACAGTATTAAATAGGAAAATAGTGTCAATAATGCAAAAGGACAATAGTAAACACTGAATTTTCAGTTAAAGGCAGTTCATCATTGAATTCAGTGATGCCCACTCAGTGATGAGAGAGCTCTCGGAATGCATAAAAAAAATGTTCCGAAGATGAATGAAGTTCTGACAGGTTTGGAACGACATGAAAATTTTCATTTTGGGGTGAACTATCCCTTTAAGTAAATAATGAGACCCTTTTATTTGTGGGTGAACTGCTTGCTTGAAAAACTAGTTATGTTTTAATGCATACAGTAGATGCTCTCAGTAGGGTCAGAGTTACATTTGGTGTGAAAGTACGGAAATAATTCCCACCCCTGGCCTAGATATTCAGGGTTGCAGGGAGGATGAATGATTGGTTGTGTGTGCTGTTCCACACTGGCCTTTATTTTTCTTCCATGCCAGCAAGTTTGGGGCCAGACACCTATTTTACAAACATAGAGCTCAGGATACACATGGCTCTCGCCCACCTGCAGCTCCCTGCACTTGGAGCATGTCTGTGAACAAGTCAGCCGTATTATATTTACATCCCTGGATTTGATTGAGTCATTGGTCTGGTCAGGCTGCAAAGCAGACACACATACCCATGCAGATAAGGATGGACTGGGAATTTGAGGCACATTTTTGGCACATAATGTAGGTTTAGACACAGTCTGTCTCTCAGTAAATATAAATATTGTTAAATATTGTATAAATATACAGATCTTGTGTGTGTGGCCCTGTGAAATTAAATGACAGCCCTTCCCCACAACCATGTGACCTTATGTCAGAGGATGACAGTTAAGTTATTCAAAAATACACTAAAAAATTCAGTTCATACATATACTGACTTCTTCTGTGATGAAGATGAGTATGTATAATTTGATATTAAGTAGGCTAAAACATGTTAAAAAACTTCTACCTTGAAAAATATATTTAACACCTTTTTAATGATAATGATTAAGATTTGTACATGTTTTCAAGGTGTGAGGAAAATGTTATTTTTACATGATGTTCACACTTTATGACATTTTTAGAGTCATTTGTAAATTTATACTTTTGTCAAAAATAGTTTTCAAAACCATATGTACCATATGTACGGTACCTGAGTTCATTTCTAAGAGTACATTTCTAAGAACTTAAACTACATTTTTTAAAGATTTGTTTTCCAACTCTTTATCTTGGATACTATTATTTGTCTTTGATGCAAATGTAAAAAGTAGTTGCTTTGTGCATTTAAACTACAGTTCAAAAGTTTGGGGCCATAAAGACATATATTTTAAAGGTATTAATACTTTATTTCTTTAAGAGTTAATTTAAAGAAAACGATTTCTAAAGATTTCTTTTTCAGGTAAATACTGTTTAAAAACTTTATAAAAACTTTATATTCGTCAAATAATACTGGAAAAAAGTATTGCGGTTTCCACAAAAAAATTAAAGCAGCATTGACCACAAATATATCTTGAGCATCAATTCAGCATATTATAATGATTTCTGAAGGATCATGTGACATTAAAACTGGAGTAATGGCTGCTGAAAAAAAAGCGTTGCCATTATAGGAATAAATTACATTTTTACAAATATATTAAAATAGAAAAAAGTATAATATTTCACAATATTTTTTTACTGTTTTACTGTATTTTCATCATATTAATTCAGCCCTGGTATGCATAAGAGACCTTCAAAAACATCAAAAACCCAACAGACCCCAATCTTTCTTACATTGATCTAACCAGTCACATGCACATTTTGAGAAAGAGGGCATAGAGCAATAGCTTAGTTGTGTTGAAATAAACAGAATTATTCTACACTGGGGTATCATGGGAAGGATGTTATCAGTTATGCTGACATTGTTGTGTTACTTTGCACTATATAATTGATCAATCGCATATCTCTCTTTGGCTCACTATGTCTCAAACTGCTGGCAACCACCATCATTTCTTGACTGTAAAGCCTCATCTGACCTCAAGATGCTGACCCTGTCAGAGTGAATCTCTAGAGGTGGACACAGGAGGGAATCCAGTCCCAAACACTCTTCATTACGCTTGACGATCAATCCAGCACTCTGCCGAATTAAAGACAGAGACACAAAGAATGAACGAGCCCTGGGGCCCTGTTCAGGACACACTTGATTACTACACAGTCCACCAGACTCACGCAGCTGGGTGTCCCTCGTCTGCGGTGCTTGATTAAGTGGGGAAAGTTTGTCCTGATGTTATGAGGGCTTGACATTCTTGATGATATGAAGAGTCCTCAACAAACTCTTGTCTGTCAGAGCATGCCACTTTTTAATTAGCACTAACCTTTCCCTCTTGTATAACTAATAATGCTACATTGGAGGATAAACACTAACAGATTTCTTTTTTGAAAGGGAAGACAAACAAATACCCAGACTGACTCACACTATACATCTGGTCTTTCAGGTCTTAAGGGCTCCTTGCAGAGGATGCAGCTGGAATATGTAGATGTGGTCTTCGCCAACCGGCCTGATAGCAACACACCGATGGAGGGTAAGTTTGGTTATTAAAATGAGGGTAAGTTAAAAAATGTGGGGGTTGCCTTAGTAAAAAAGTAATATATTTAAAGTACATTTCTTTCATACTAAGTATAGTTCAAATACATTAACATATTTACCGACATATCACTTGAGACTTACTGATATAAAAAAATATATAATTCAACTTTATCAGGAGTACTAGGCTACTTGTGTACAATGTGCATTTCATATTATTAAGCCTAAAATGTGATTAATGTCACTATTGATGAGGAATGTATGATCTTTGAATAATTTTGGTCTTTAAATGCAATATATTTAAAGTGTACCTGATGTATACTTGCAGTAGTTCCACTTTAGCACAATAAAATATACTTCAGTATATCTTTAGTTGGACTTCAGCACTACTTCCACACAATTGAAGTTCATTAAGTACATAATTAGTTGTTCCAATTTAGCAGACTTAATATACCAAAAATATTTAAATTTTAAAATATTTAGTTTAATATACCAAAAGTACAATTGCAGGATATTTTTATTAAGTACATAAATATGTAAACATATTTGTAGTATACTTGAAATAAATGTATTTCAAATACATTTTAGTATATTTATTTTTCACTAGGGTGGTAAGATTTTTTAATGTTTTTCAAAGTCTTTTATGCTCACCAATGCTGCATTTATTTGATCAAAAAATACAGTAAAACCGTAATATTGTGAAATATTATTACAATTTAAAATAACTCTTTTCTATTTTCAGTGTATTTTAAAATTGTTATTCCTGTGATGGCAAAGAATGTTTCATTTCTCCAGTTGCATGACCCTTCAGAAATCATTCTAATTCTATACTGCTTTTAGAAATAGAAATCTTTTGTAGCATTATTAATTCAGTGTCTTCAGTATCACCTTTGATCAATTTAATGTATTCCTCCTAAATACAAGTATTACTGAACAAAAAATTGTGCTGACCCCAAACTTTTGAACGGTATAGTGCATGAAACTTGTTTGGGGTACATTTTGAAGACTTTAGTAGACTTTGGTAGGTTTAGTCATTCATACAAGTTTCCTCTCAAATTAATTTTCTTGACCTTCACCAAAGCACTTGGGGAAACTCTTTGGAAAGTGCTGAGAAGTTAGCGATCACAATACTGCATCAAAAGCCATGTACAAAAGAACAAGTGTGTCAGACTAAAAGGGTTGGTGTCCTGCAGGCACATCCATCTGAGGTCTAAGTTCTCTGAAAGATATATTCGTGATAACAGGGTTACAATTAAGTGCAGTCCCCGGGGTGCCATTACGGTAATAATTCTGAATAACCAGACTTCTTACTTCTACCCAAAGTACGCAATGCAGCCAGCAGGCTACCACGCTGCTGTTAAAGCTCTGTACTGCCCAAAGCTTCAAGTGTAGTCAGCCTGAAAATCTAATCTACTGTTTAATAATGTGCTTTTGGTACAAACCACAGGATAGCAAAATCTCTTGAACAGTATAAACCGGTTACTAAATAAGAGGAGACAGAGAGAAGCAACTGCACCAAGAGTGATTTGGAGAAAATGTGAGGATAGTGCATTAAAATGAGTATCTGCTGCTGATGCCGTTTTTTTAAATTGACAGTTTTATTCTCAGAAGAGCAAAAATGAGAAGAAGAAAGATAAGTGAGCCAGCCTCTTTGACCTTCAGTACTCATAAAGAAATTACCAGCTGTTGTAACAACAGCTCCTCTCTTTCGTTTATCCATCCTATTATCTCCAGACATATGCTTAAAAACATGCAGAGAAGAGAGAAGAATAGATAGTAGTAGAGGAAGATGGAAAACATGAAAGGTTTTTCTTCTGATCAATAAAAAAGTGTAAAGCCAGAAACAGATGCGAATGCATTGCAAGTTTTTGTGGAATATACTTGATTTGCATTCTTGCATTACTGTAGCAGCAACAGCAGTTTGATTAATTTGAACGTACTCAACAAGATTGTCTTCAAGCAGTTGCACTACCATGACATTATTTGATCTAAAAGAGAAAACTGACCAAATAATCAGAATAATCTTGAATTTACACTAACCCCCTTGCAGCACCTCTAGTGGCAGTGCTGAAGTACAACATATAACTGCAATGAGAAAAGGCAGTGACTTATGAATTACATTGTCCCTGCAAAGCTAGAAGCATTAGTTTCTTATACTTGAGCAAAGTTTCAGGATTTGGAGACAACCATGAAGGAATTCAAGCCAATTTATGATCTTAGGTCTGCTTAGCCTAGCATTTAAATATGCTAGGCAAGTTGTATTGCCTCTTTTTAGCCCTTTTTAAAAATGCCTTGCATAACCAGATATCACTGAAATAGGTGTCCTGAGAAATCATAATGTATATGTGGCCACCCTAAACTCCATAAATGGCAAAAAAGCCACTCTTTAGCCAATCAGAAACACTGTCTAAGTGTAAAGCATTTTTTGGCATTCGGGCTTGCTGTGAGTAAAATCTCATAGCACCTTGTAGAGCCAAAAAGGAGATTTTCGAAAGAGAAAGATTTTCATAGTCCCTCTCTTTTCGTAAACTCAATCAATATTCTCTTGTTAAGGGGGATCGGTATGCTCCTCTGGTAATATATGTACCACTTAGAGCTGTTCTGTTATGTAGCATTTAGGACTTAGTAATATGTCAAAGCTCTGCGCTGGATGCCAAGGTTACCCTGACTCAGCCATTTGTTCCAGACCTCTCTACTTTAACAAGCTTTTCAGCTTTCACTCCATCACTTCTCACTCAGACTCAGAGAATCTAACACAGTGCCTGCCAAATCTTACTTCCCATCACAGTTACATCTTCCCCAAACAAAAACAATTTATTTGTTACAAACTGAAAGGTCATTTATTGCAAACCTACCAGTTCAGTTCACTCATTGATGCCTATGGGAACCTAAATCAATTCCACTGGCTAAAAGAATTTTAAATGAGTGCTCATTCAGTGCCTGATTAGAAACCCTACAAAATCACTTTATGGTGTCTGTCATCTGAAATATGTTTTAGTATATCACTGTAAGAAGCTGTAGAACTTGAAATTAAACATTTGTAGTTCTTTGTGTTTTATGTTTTGTAAAAAAAAAAACTCTTCACGTACTAACTTGGCATGCATCATTTTCCAGCTTAAATAATCACGTGTTTTATTCCTTTTTGCACAAACTGTTATTACAAGGGTAGATTATCCATTAACAAAAATCAGGGGCATAGCCATCATTTCAGAAGTGAGGAGGACAGAGATGTAATATATATATATATATATATATATATATATATATATATATAATAACAACATTACAATATAACATTTCTAATATATAACCTACCAGTCAAAAGTTTTTGAACAGTAAGATTTTTAATGTTTTTAAAGAAGTCTCTTTTGTTCACCAAGCCTGCATTTATTTGATCCAAAGTACAGCAAAAGCAGTAATGTTGTGAAATATTTTTTTAC